CCTCCCGCCAGGTCCCTTCCCAGTTCCCTTCTGGCCCTACAATCGTGCTCTTCCTACAGGGATTTTCGGAAAGCCGGTGACAGGACTCAACAAAACAGCCTGAAGCTGAGTCAGGGCAGGTTTGGGGTGGATCTCAGGGAAAGGTTCTTCCCCCAGAGGGTGGTGGGCACTGCCCAGGCTCCCCAGGGCAGTGGGCACGGCCCCAAGGCTGCCAGAGCTCCAGGAGCGTTTGGACAACGCTCTGAGGGACAGGGGGGGATTGTTGGGGTGTCCTGGGCAGGGACAGGAGTTGGGCTGGATCATCCCTGGGGGTCCTTTCCCACTCAGAAGATTCCAGGCTAAGGTGCCATGAGCAGGGGTGGTTGTCCCCCCTCTGGTGGCAAAGGACTGACCTTCCTAACCTGGTTGTCTGGAAAAATTCCTGTTTGCCTTTGCCTGTGCCGTGGTTTTCTCTCCACAGGGAGATGTTTGTGCTCCTGCCTTAAAATATCACAGTCCCCTGGAGATGTTTTTGCTGATCTTGGGTGCTCCCAGCTGCCCGTGGCAGGAGGAGAGGGGGTCACCCCAGCTGGAAACCAGAACAGGGGTGCAGGGGGTGCTCAGAGCTGCACAAGCAGATTTTGTCTCTCCAGGAGGAGATGCCCGTGTTTGGGGAGCTGCTGCCATCTCGTAGCCAAGGCAGATACTACAGGAGAGGAGGCTGGAGGAGAGCAGGGCACCCAAAATCCCATCACGGCACTCGAACCCCGGTTCTGTGCCGGGGTGGTGCCTGTGCCAGGCTTTGGGTGGTCCAGGCTCGGTGAGGAGGCTGTTCTGGGGGGTGGGGGTGTCTGTGGGCACACCGGGGGTGCACAGGCTGCTCCTGCTGCTGTCAGGGGATGGAGCCACAGAATCATGGAATTGCTGAGGCTGGAACAGCCCTCTGAGTCCCAGCCACTCTGCCAAGGCACCACTAACCCACACCCACAGGTTTTTTGGACGCTCCCAGGGGTGGTGATTCCATCACTGTTCTGATACCTGACCTCCCTTTTGGGTGAAGAAATTTCCCCTAATATCCAATCTAGATGGCTGTCAGTGGGTTAACAATTACTGAAGAATAACAGAAATGACCTGAGCAGGGCCTTGATGCTCCCTCAGCACCCACAGGGGTTTGGGGAGAGGGGTGCAGGTCCCACATGGTGTGTCACAGCAAGCAGCAGGTGCATCAGCCTTTCCTTGGCTGCCCATAAACTCACCTGAGCTATTTACTAGCCACCAAAGAGGCTGTTCTGGCTGAACACCCCCGGGCAGGGAAGTTTGGCTTTTGTGTTTCCCTCTGGATCCCTCACTGGAGTGTGTAATTCAGTCAGAGAAGCACATAAAGGCCCGGTGTTTAAGAGGCTCAGCTCCAGGTTTTATTGAAGCTGTGGGGCTGCTGCATTTCCCCCTTCAAACTGTCATTTTTATTTGTGGCTGTGCCACAAACCCTTTCTGAGAGGCTCAGGCTGTGGGAGCCGCTGTGTTTCTCCTTTGCTGAGGGTGCATTAAGTTGTCAGGTGTGGCTTGGGGTGTTACTTAAAACAGCACAAGCCTCGTGGCCACAGGAGGGGGTTGGAGGGGGTTTTGTGCAAATTCTGAACCTTAAAAACTTCACTCAGGATAATCAGCCACTAAATTGGTGCTTGGGGCTCCCATCCAGCCCCGTTTCCTGAGGTGCTCCAGTAAACCAGGCTCAGCATCAACCAGAAATCATGTGAGGGTGTAAAAACACCCCCTCTGTGTGTGGGAGCTTGGTCCCAGCTCCCATCCTTCCTGAGCTGTGGGGGAAGTGGGTTTGGATTTGCAGTTTTCCCAGTGGAAACTGGGAGCTGGTGGATTTCACAGATTCATGGAATGGTTTGGGTTGGAAGGAACCCTAAAGACCATCTAGTTTGCCCATGGGCAGGGACAGATTTGTCCACCGGGCTCTTGAGGAGACCTCTGGGTGGGCTGAACTTGAGCTTGGCTTTAGGGAGCATCATAGAGATGCTGGGTGACTTGATAGAGAGTGTGTTCAGTGACCTCCTGGAAGTACTGGCAGCACAGCCACTCCTCCAGGCCGGCTCTTCCCCCTGCCCCGGCCGAGTTCTCCGCAAACCTGAGGAGCAGCAGAGCCCTCTTCACCTCCACCCAGCTCTGGAGCAGCGGGAGGGTCTTCCTGCTCCTGGCAAAGAGCTCCTGGCGTGGCCCCCAGAGCAGGACCTGCAGGATGCTCCTGGCCTGGGGGACGGAGGCCCTCCTGGAGGGATCTCTGTGGAGGAGCAGCGTGGCCAAGCGCCGCAGTCCCGCCGAGTAGATGGACAGGGAAGGGATTTCGGGGAGCCTGTTGCTTCTGAACCCCAAGGCGTCCTCCAGAGAGATGTCCACGTGCAGGATCTGATAGATCAGCCTGCCCAGCATCAGCTCATCTGCTGCTGGGGTGGTGGGTGCAGCCAGGCCCTTGGCCCAGTCCTGCTCTTGGCTGGTGGAACAAGGTCTTTGCTTCTCCTTGGCCTTGAAGAAGCTGCTGATGAGCAGCCGTGGCAGGGACAGTCCCAGGGGCTCCTCCTTGCCTCGCTGGCTCCCGGGAGGACACGGGCACTGCACCAGCAGCAGGTTCTCGGGGCTGAGGTCCCCCTGCCCCACCTTCTGCCCCTGGAGGTGCTCCAGCCCCAGGCACAGCTGCAGGAGCAGGAGGCAGCCCAGGCGTTCGTAGTGCCCGGGGCTGGTCCTGTGCAGCTCCTGGGACCCCTTCACGAAGTCTGCCAGGGTCTGGTGGGGAACCTCGGCACAAATGAGCACCTGCAGGACTGGGTGGGTGGCAGGACAGGCTGGCTCCTGCCTGGAAGGGGATTGGCTCTGCTCTCCAGGGTTTCCTGGGAGCAGCAGCTCTCTGGGGAGGCGGTCGGTGAAGCGGCAGAGCAGGCGTTGGATGCTGCAGTGTGGCCCCAGGGAGCTCTGCACCCCCAGGCTGGAGCAGCACGGCTTGGGGACCTGCAGGGACAGACAGGACACGGCCAGCTGGGCGAGGACAGAGCCATGGGCCACCCCAGCAGCTCAGGGCCACCTTTTGAACCCCCTGGCAGAGCCAGAATGCCTTTGAGCAAGAACTGGGACGTGAGGGGGGGGATGGAGTAGCCCCCTCAGGAAAGCTGCAGAGCTGCTTGGATGGGTCTCATCCTGCACTCCAGAGCAGCCAGCCCTGCTCCAGCCTCTCCTTTGTGTACGCTGGCCCCTCTGGACAACTTGCCAGGGCATGTTCCCCAGCAGTGCCCTTCTCCTTGGGCCCATGGGAGAGTCACCCACGGGAGTGTCACCCCTGTCAGCCCTGCCAGCAGCGCCGTCTCCTTCAGCGAATGCAGAAGTAGGTGCAGAAAGGGGAAGCTGCTGCATGATGAGGCAGGAGCCATCTCCCTCTGCACCACCCAGAGCATTTTACCAGTTCCCTCCTTACCTTGGCTGCCAACTCCAGCTGGCTGTGCCCGAAGGTGAAGCCCACCCTGAAGTACCAGGCGTCCCCGCTCTCACAGCACGGCTCCGGCTCCAGGATCCTCAGGGCTCCCCAGCGCTTCCCCACCAGCTCTGCCTCCAGCAGCTGCTGCTGCTCCTCCAGCCCCACCAGCTCCTCCTGGATGCGAGCCGAGAGCCGGGCCAGGGTGGCTGCCTGGCAGCCCAAGAGCACCCCACACACCCCGGCCGGGCTGTGCAGGAGCTGCCCCAGCTCCCCGTCCGATGTCCCGAACGTCAGCTCCCTCAGGCTGGGGGATGGGCCCTTCTGGGGGCTGCTCCAGGCTTCCCCCAGGCTTTGGGACTTGGTCAGGGGCTTCTTGGGTCTGTCCCGAGGGGGGGTGCAGCTGGGAGCCCCCTCCCCGTGCCGCAGGTGGGATGGTGGGACGCTGTAGAGGACGCTGCCGGCCCGCGGTGTGGGGTCACCCAGCAAGTGGTGGGATGGTCCCTGCTCCGGGAGGGACTCTGCTCGCTGGAGCTGCTTTTTGGGCAGTGGGGGAGGCTGCGGCTCCTGGTTGGGCTGAGAGAGGGATCTCCCAGCTCCTTCCCCTCGGCTCGCCTTGGGGGGGGCGAGGTGAGCCCGCAGCTCTCCTGGGGAGGGAGGAACAGACATGACGGAGGAGAAGAAAGTGGGAGCAGGATGGGAGGACAGACACGTCGTTCTTTGCCCCCCCCGGATATTTCCTGCCCCCTCCCCCCGGATATTTCCAGCCCCAGCACCGGAGGGGTGACCGATGCCGCGGGGGAGGACGGGGACAGCAGCGGCTCCATCCCCACCCCATCATCCGAGGTGACACCGCGACGGGCAGGGGGACAGCGGGGTCGGGATGTCACTCACCCACGTTGCTGTAGATGAGGGCTGGGTCGGGGGGCCGGGCCGGGGTGTCCCCCATGGGGCTGGGAGCTGCGGGTGCACCCAGGTCCAGGCTGGAGCAGCAGGAATGTCCTCTGGCCCTGCAGGGAGTCGGGATCAGCGTCACCCCCACCCCCCTCTGGGGGGTTCTGACTCCTTTCCGTGCCGGCTCACAGGAAGAATAAAGAGAAAAGGGGAAGCAGCGGCCTGGGGATGTTGGTGGTGGGGTTTTGGGGCAAAACACAGCGAGTTTGGTGGCACAGTGACTCCCGTTACTGCTCGGGGGGTGCTGGGGGTGGGAGATGCCCCGGAATGTGCCGAGCGACATCCCAGCGGGTGCAGGGTTGGGGTCTGCCCCGGGGGACCTGTTGGGTGACCCCGAGGAGGACGGGACGGTGGGAGAGGTGTGGGACAAGAGCAGGGAAAGCCTTTGTCACCCCCAGGCAGGCCTGGGGTGGGGCTCAGGACGGGGGGGTCTGTGTGTGGGGAGGGAGAAGGCAGAGCCCAGAGGAGGAGGAGGAGGAGGAGGAGGGCGATGAGACGGAGCCGCTGCTTTCGCTTCCCCATCCTGGCCGGGCGCTGACTCTGCTGCCCTCAACGGTACCGAAACCACCGTGGCTTCCTCTGAACCTGCTCATTCTGCTGGGACAGCCCTTGCTGAGCAATCCCAGGCTGTGCCCCGCTCGGACCCCTCGAAATCCCCCCGGACCCCGGAGCAGCCCTGCCCGAAGCTCCTTCCCGGGCCCCGTTTGCAGAGCAGTTTGTTGTTACCTCGGGGTTTTTCCCTGGCAGTTGTTACCTCTGAGTTCCCCCTGGCAGTAACGGAGGCCTGGGGGGCTCCAGCTCCGTGTCCTGGATCCGCAGCATCTCCCACTGCCCATCCCGGGCTCGCCGGGCTCTGGCCATGGCACCGCCGGGAATCGCCCTCGAGCGACTCTCTGCACCCCCTCTGTGGGAGGATGTTCTTTCAAAACCTGCTCCTTGCACGGCTAAAGGAAGCTGGAGGTTGGGCCTCGCTCCCTGAAAGCCCCCAGAGCCCCCTGGCATCCTGGGGGCAGTGGATTTGTGTCCTTCAAGCTGCTCCTGGAGCTTCACGCTCCTCCCTCCTCCACGGGTGGCTTTAGGGATGGCTGCAATGGATGGCAGTTGTGTTGAAAGAGGGATTCCCACCATAACATTTTTTGGTCTCCCACTTTTCAGGTGCTCAGAGGGCACAAATGACCCAGCTCAGCTGCTCGAAAAACTCCTCTCATTGCTACCTATCCCCTTTGGGATAAAGTCACCTTTATAACCCTCTAAACCTCAAATTATTTTAGTATTTCCTCCTTTCCATTCAGTTTTTGGAATAACGAAGCAGTGATGGCCCTCATTAGTGTGGGGTAAATAAGCAACAACTGCAGGGATTTCCCCTGGGAGCAGCGAGGCTGGGATGAGGATTTGGGGGATGAGGATTCCACGAAGGAAGTGAATTTATCCACAGTATTTTCACAAAGCCCTGGGACTGGGCATCTCTCCAGGGCTTTGGGGGCTCGGGGTGGGACTCGGTGGGTTCTGTGAGCCTGAAGGAGGAGACCCCCCCTCCTCCAGGGTTTCTTCCCCACGTGTTTATTTTCCAGTCCCCATTTCCCAGCCGACCCCAAGCAGACTGGGAGGTTGTGCCTGTTGGCCCTTGGCCAGGGGCTGTTTCTTGTGAAGCCCAGGCCGTGTGTTAGAGCTGATAAAAATCCACGTGAGGAGCTGAGTCACCCCTGAATCTGGCACCAGCTCAGGGAGGGTGTGCAGGACTCTGGGAGATGCCACCTTGCACTGGTTCCTACACCATCAACCAGGTGGTTGCCAGCTCCTTTCCAGGGTGCCCAGGGGGCTGCAGCCCACCCTGCCTGGCAGTGAGTCTTGGCTTGGTGCTGCTCCCTCAACACCTCACCCGGGGCTGAAACGCTGTAAAAATGAAGAATGTGAGTGGAACACTTAAGATCCAGGAGAATTTGGGGCTTGTTGATGGTGGTCAGCAGCGGGGCCGGTGTATGTGTGTCATTTGTGTCCACCACAGCGACACAAACTGCTCTGAGCAGCAGCAAATCACAGAGCCACAGGAGGGGGTGGGTGGGAAGGGACCTTAAAGCTCATCTCATCCCACCCTCTGCCATGGGCAGGGACACCTTCCACCAGCCCAGGTTGCTCCAAGCCCTGGCCTTGGACACTTCCAGGGATCCAGGGGCAGCCACAGCTGCTCTGGGCAAACCTGTGCCAGGGCCTGCCCACCCTCACAGGGAACCACAGACTCTTTGATTCCTGAGGAAATCGGTTTCTGTTCCCAGAGGGAAATAGGACCTTTAAAGGCACCTGCTGGAAAATTGCATTTTCCTAATTGTCTTTATTTTCTGGTTTGTTTTGTTTTGTTTTGTTTTGTTTTCCATGACATTATTCCCAACCCATCGCTGCTTTGGGGATGCTCCAGGCCCGGTTCAGGGCAGGTTGGGATGATCCCTGTGGCACTGCTGGGCTGGGTGGGCACCATGGGCACTGAAACCACCTCTCAGCATCCTCCATCCTGGCAGCTCATCCCCAAAAGGCTGCTGAAGGAGTGAGTCCCTAACTCCTAGGGTTGTCCCCAAGGCCACGCTGCCCCCAAACCCTCGGGCACAGGCAGGAACTGTAATAACCCCAACCCTTCACCTCCTGGGCACTCCTGTGCCAGGCAGGATTTTTTCTATGAGCAGGAAATGAGCAAAAAAAAAACCCCGATTTCCTCTTTTCCTCTCTTGCCCAGCCCGTGGGGGCTGCAGCATCCTGGTTATTTTGCAACCAGGGCCACCCTCCCTCGTGCCCCTGAGGGGGGTGCTGGGAGCCTTCCCTGCCCCCGGGCAGCAGTGGGGGATGGAATTTTGGGGGGAAGAGGCTGGAACTGGCCCAGGGCCCTTTTCTCCAGCAGATGGAGGCATTGCTTTGCTTCCACCACCCTGCAAGCCTCTGGGAAAGCCGGGACTGGGGCTGCCGTGGGAGCAGGGAGAGGGACGTGGTGGGATTTGGGGAGGTGCAGCAGCCCCTTTGTGGGGGACACAAGGACAGGGGGGCCCCAGCCAGCTGGGCAAGCGACACTGGGGTGGCCTTGGCCTCGTGGGGATGGTGATGGCAGCTCAGCCAAGGGCTGGGATGGCCTCGTGTGGGGTCAGGCTGGTCCCTGGGGCTGGTGGGACAGGAAAGGGGATCAAGGGGGTGACTTCAGGATTAGAAGAGGAGCCACCTCGCAGAATCACAGAATATGCTGAGTTGGAAGGGGCTCACAAAGATCACTGAATCCAACTCCTGGTCTTGCACAGGACCATCCCCAAGAGTCACACTCTGTCCCTGAGAGGATCATCCAAACCCTCCTGGAGCTCTGGCAGCCTTGGGGCCGTGCCCACTGCCCTGGGGAGCCTGGGCAGTGCCCACCACCCTCTGGGGGAAGAACCTTTCCCTGAGATCCATCCCAACCCCCCTGGCACAGCTCCAGCCCTTCCCTGGCTCCTGTCCCTGGTCCCCCCAGAGCAGAGCTCAGTCCTGCCCCTCCTCTGCCCCTGCCCAGGCAGTTGGAACTGCAGTGAGATCTCCCCTCAGTCTCCTCCTCTTCAGCTGAACACACCAAGTGCCCTCAGTGTCCTCACAGGGTTCCAAATCCAGGCCCTTCCCCATCTCCGTGTCCCTCCTTTGGACACTCTCTGATGGTTTCATATTTTCCTCCCACTGTGTCCCCCCAAACAGCCCCCAGGACTCGAGGTGAGGCCGCCCCAGGTCAGGGCAGGGCGGGACAATCCCCTCCCTGGCCCGGCTGGCGATGCTGGGCCTGATGCCCCCTAGGACAGGGTGGCCCTTTGGGCTGCCAGGACACTCTGCTGACTCAGATCCAACTTGCCACCCACCAGGACCCCCAGGGCCCTTTCCCTGCACTGCCTTCCAGCCTCTCATTCCCAGTCTGTCCCTCCATCCAGGGTTGCCTCATCCCAGAGACAGAATCCAGCACTTCCCCCGTTGAACTTCCCATGGTTGGTGATTCCCAGCCCTGGGATCTTCAGAGTTCTCTCTATGGGGCCTCCCTGCCCTCGAGGGACTCAACAGCTCCTCCCAGTTCTGAGTCCCCACAATCCCTTCCAGCGCTGTGTCCCAGCTGTTTAGGACGATGTCAATGTTCAGGTGCATCCTCAGAAACCCTCCATCAATAACTAATAACAGATTAATGGCAGTGGCAGCTAGGTAACACACGTGCATTGATCATTTATTAGTTATTGATACGGACTCTGAGAGCATTGTTTAGCATTGTTCAGCATTGTTTATTATGGGGTTGATGGGCTGAAGGGCTGCAAATCCCAGCAGAGCCCTGGGGAGAGGGGAAGGTCTGCTGGAGTCTTGGGGCTTCTCAGGCTGGAGCAGGTCTGGAGAGCACAAAGGCACAAATCCTGCTCATGGTGCAGGTGGTCCTGCCATTCCCAGGGGTTTGCCCTCTGATTTTGTCTTTTCTTATTGAGGCCCACGAGGGGAAAAAAAAAACAAACAAAAAACCAAACGAGTCACAAAAATCCCTTTTTTTTTCAGTTTTTTTTTTTTTTTTCTTTTTTTGCTCACAAATACATTTCACATGCTCGTTACATAGAAAACTGGGCCAGGTCTGCACCGCCCAAACCTGCCTTTGCTCCCTCTGTAAAGGGTCTGTGCCCCACTCCCCCACCCACCCACCCACCCCCCCAGGTAAAAAAATCCCATCCCAGACATCAAACAGGGGGTGAGGGCGGTGGGACCCCCCGTGGGACCCCCGTGGGACCCTGGTGGGACATGGCATGCACGGCTCGGGGGGCCAGGGGCACCGGGCATGCGGGGGCTGCCAGGGCAGGGAGCCTCAGGGAGGAGGGAGGAGGGTTGGGGGCTCCCCCCTGTCCCCCCCAGGAGCTGGGGGGGCACCCAGGGTGGGGGGGGTGTTCTGAGCAGCCCACCCAGCAAAGCCCCTGGGGTGCTCCTGTCTCTGGTGCCTCTGCGATGCCCACGAGGGGACGGGCAGGTGCCTCCTCC